GAGAGGTCGGTGTCAGCAACTAAATTAGTTTGACTCGCGGTGGGACGGCGGAGAATCTGATTTTAATACGAATGTGGCCGGCGGTAGGTCAGTGTGCCTAAACCAAATCATGAAACGAAATCAGGCAACCAAATCCCAACATCATCAAGCAAGATCAACCATTTCGCCCACGGAAATGGAATCCCGTACGCCATAGAATGTAGTAGTACGCCACATGACATGATCTGGCAGGGGAGGGAAACATTAATTTAGCAACAACAATTACCGTGTTCGCTCGTTGGTTTCAGCCAGCCTAAATCAATCAGCCAACGATATTTTTCTCTCACAACAAACCAGAGAAACCAACCAGCTAACAACCCGAATGTCTTAATAGATCCAATTTCATCATCACCAGCTAACAACCCGAATGTCTTAATAGATCCAATTTCATCATCAGTAGCAGTACAATGCGTAACGCTTCGTGGATCTGCGCCATTCCAGCGCAGACCGGAAACGGTTTCAGGACGGCGGGCTCCGGATCAGAACAGCAGGCACGTCCGGGAGCGGCGACAGGGGAGGGGGAGGGGGCGCCTCGTAAAACCGGCAGATCCCTCACCCTCCTGCTCCACGACGACGACGACAATGGGAGCGAGGGGAACAAAGACAACCCCGGCCCCAATCGGAAGGAAACGAAAGGCGAAACCAGTATATACACACGGAGCTCTAGATCTACGGCCATGTCGGCGACTTGCTTCCGCCTGCCGCGTCGTGCGGCCGGCGTACGGTTCAGGCGGAGCGGGCGAGGCGGGAGGCGATGGCGGAGTGGTACATGGCGTCGTGGAAGGACTCGGTCTGTGCCATCCGCGCCCGCAGCTGGCGGGCCTTCTCCTCCGTCAGGCCCCCCACGAACTGCCTGCGTGCCGCGCTGCCCGCGTCGTCGTCCTGCGCCACCGCCACCGCCGGGACCGGGGCCGGGGCCTCGAGGTAGTCGGCCTTCCCCGACCACCCCAGCAGCGGCGCCCACCACCTGCCGCCCTCCGCCGCCCCAGCAGCGACGCGCCGCGGACGGCCAGAGGAAGGGGACCCCGCCGCCGCCGGGCGGGCGGGGAAGGAGACGGAGACGGAGGCGGGTGCGCACGGTGCCGTCGCCATTCCGATCGATCGGTTGCTTCTCCGCGAGGCTTCTCCGCGAGGCTGCAGTGCGAGGGCGAGATTGCTGATGGAGGCCCAGGGTCGCCCTGGCATTTATAGCAGACGGAACGGAGCGGATAAGACCACCGCGTGGACACGTGGTCCGCATCGTGTTAACGCGGTGCGTAACGGTTGCTTATTTCTGGTGGGGGCCGTCAAGTCACTGATGCGTGGGTCCAGGCTGTGGGGCTGCGGCCTTCGTGCGGTGCTCCCCCCTGCCTCTCCTGCCGTGACGCGGTGATGCCGTTGGGAGCGGTCAATGCTACGGAGCACGCGGGATGACCTTCTGAAATTAGGTCTTCTAGATAGATAGGATGCTCTCAACACACACACACACACACAAAAAAAAGAGGGTCATCTAGAAGGGAGGCCTTCCTAGCTGAAATATTTGTTTTTTTTTTCATTCAGAAACGTTAGTTCTGGTCCTGGCGGCCAGTGTTGTTGGTACGCTCCGACCGAACGAAGGCAGATGTTGAAGATGAGAATAGAAAGTAAGTACTAAAAAACAAGTAATAATAAGAACTGGTTAATTCCTAGTACTAATAAAGAATAAAATAACTTTTTGTTTTATTTATTTGGCTAGATATTTTGGATTGGGTGGTGCCTGGAGCTTGTAGAGCGGTAGAACGATCATGTTGAGTTTGAGAAAATGTTGTGTGATGTGTATTCAACCGACGGTTGTCGATAGTATCTTTATTTATTTTTTAGTGTGGACTCCTATAGTATAATTCAAACTTTAAAAACTTTGATCAATAATTAGACTAATAATTTTTAACCATTATAATACAAACTTTATATGATTAGATTTGTAAGAAATTATACTATCCAATGATTATAATTTTATAAGCATAAATAATATAATATAAAATAAATGAATGGTTAAAGTGTAATCTAGGAGACCGTATCATTCTAACTTACGCCTGATAAAATAGACCGGAGGGAGTAGCTGCCATCGCAAAAAAAAAATCTTAGCTTATTGTTTTTTATATAGTTTTACTATTTGGATTGTCTGCGTATTGTTTGCTTTTTCTTTATTTTTTAGAACTAGCAAATTTGTTTGTGGGTTGCAACGGGAGCATCAAATGTTAACATAAAACAGCGACATAAATGACACATATTTATTTTATAAAATTTCAAATCTATAATTTATTTTACGATGATCAAGATCCATAATATAAGTTTATCTTGGCAACAATATGATAATGTTCTATTAAGCCCGTGTGAAATTAAAATTCAACCTTCATGACTTTTTTCTCCCATTGCAAAGCACAAAAATTATTTAAACATAGTATATATGCGTCGCCGCCGCCACGAGCACGATTCATCCCGGGCGACAAGTTAGTGCGGCCCCTCTTCACGCTGTGGTCGACAGGTGGGGTCGGATGATACGTGGAGCCCGCTTACAACAGCTTTCCCAAGAAACCACGGTTGTTAAACAAAATGGCTTTGAGCTTTCTCACAGTATCACAGTGCATAACTCACAACATCTTTTCTACAACCCACAGTTGACAATTACTTTTTCAGAAGCCACATTTCAACCAAGCAGGCCCTATATAAATAAATTAATGGCGAAATTTTATATTTCTTAGGAAAAAAAATCAATGGCTCGAGGACCCACAGGAAATTAAAAAAACACTGGCCCAAAAGAAAAGGGTAGAAAAAACCAAGCTAAAAAACAGAATCATAAAAATCAAGCAGGACAACAATACACCAAAAAATTATGGCTATGGAAAATTATTATGAGCTACGGAAAAAAGGAGTCCAACAAAACAGAAACAATTGAAAAAAAACAGAGAAAAAAAGATCGCATGTGCACATGGTGGGGGACAAGGAAGATGGAGGGGTGTGGAAATGAGAAACGTGGACACATAGGATATCTGACGGAAAAAAGAACGGTAACGACACCTATACGGAGCGGGATTAGATGTTGGGCGGAACAAAAAATTTAGGACGACCAGTAATTTTGCCTCTTTATTATTAGGTATAGGTATAGAATCAGTAGCTCTTTCATTTAGACCTTTTTTATATACTTTTTGCATAAAAAAAGTTCTGAGGTTCTTTTTCATTATTTATAAATAATTGGCAGCTCTTTTGTTTAGACCTTTTTTATATACTTTTTGCATACTAAAAAGTTCTGAGGTAGACCCTAATATTCACGCTAGTCGCGAGAACAACCTTTGCCCGTGATGGAAGGGTCACATGCCCTCTTTATTCTAAAAGTTGTTTGGATAACGATGGGGCACAAAGAATTCACACAAAGTTAATAAAAGTTACTATATCCATTCTAAATTATAAAACATTTTTTATTTTCTAGATACCTAAATTCTTCTATATATTATATACATATAATGTCTAGATATGTGTCGGGAAAGACTAAAACGTTTTATAAATATGAATAGAGGGAGTATTGTTTAAAATTGGAACAAGCACACGTTAATGTTAAAGATTTCGACACGATTTCTAGACGGCTAAGAGGAGCCGTGGATACGATCTTAGTCGAGAGGGGAGAAATAGATTACTTCTAAATTATGTAACCTCAAATAAGAATGATGAGATGATGTTTTAGGAACAAAAGTCGTGGATACGATTTATAGTACTTTCACAAAATTATCGTGGATACGATTCTAGAGTAGTACGTTTTCACAAAATTGTTGTGGATACGTGGATTATATATTTTTACGAATAAAGTTCAAAACGAATAGATCGTGGATATTTTAGATTCTAGTATTTTTCTTTTTTTTTCTCGAACACACGAGAGAATTGCGTATCATTTTCATTCTTGTACTTTTACAAAATTGTCATTTCCAAAGAGGTGGCATGGCTGGATATTTGGGTTTTATTGACTGCCGATATTTTACGTGGGGAAGAAGAAAAGTGTAGATTCACAAATCACAAGTGACAGTGTAGTGTTGATGCTGATCTTTTCCTCTCTTTTTTTACGCCTGATGCTGATGATGTTGATCTGAGACTGAGTGTCTGAGAGGGAGTCTGCTCGCTGGTCTCGCTGGGTTGAGCGTGAGCCGTCTCGGATCCTCGTCAGCTGGTCAGTGTGTGGTTTGTTCGCGCACGCGTGGTGCTCGGACGACTGGACCTGAGGTGCGGTTGGTGACTTGGTGTGGCTAATCATAACATATTAATTAATTAACAAATTGGTATTTTTATCAGCACTGAATTACTGATTCAAACACGGGATCATGCGCCTGCAAAGTGGTTGCTCGCGCGGCGACAACGCTGAGTCACCGCCACGGCCACGCGCCGGCAAAGGTCACGGGCCACCGACCGCGTCCATTGCACACTTGCACTGCACCCATGCACCTCTGACTCCGGCTCAGAGACGGCCGTGGGTATCCAAGATGGAAGTGGAACGAACCAGAGTCTCGCCATGGTGCCTCTGCTTCAGCCTGGCATGGCATGGCATGATGAGGAATCAGACGATCCAACAAAATGACAAGAACGCTCATCTCGATTAACAGCCACATCGAGCAGTGGAGTATACCAACGAAATCGAAACAACACAGTTGGAGACTACAGTGGAAGTGAGGAAAGATTTTTTTTTTAATCGAGATCACAACAATGGGTTACATGTTCTTGGGGCAAAGCATAATAATGCCAGTCCAAACCGGAAATGTCGAATCACATCTCAAGGAGTAATCCGGTTAGCAATGCGGCGGCGGAGGGAGGTGGAACAAGCAAGGATCACACGCTAAAAAACCCAGATCCACTTGCTCTTCCGTTCTCGGGAGTAGCTAATGACAAACTATATGTACACACAGAGGCAGGCGCTGCGGCGGCGGCGGCCACCGGCGAGCTTGCTGCGCGCGCATCACCCGCTAGGCGGAGCGCGCGAGGCGGGACGCGATGGCGGAGTGGTACATGGCGTCGTGGAACGACTCCGTCTGCGCCATCCGCGCCCGCAGCTCCCGGGCCTTCTCCTCCGTCATCACCCCCACGAACTGCCTCCGCGCCGCCTCGTCCTGCGCGGCAGGCACCGGCGCTCGCGCCTCCAGGTAGTCGGCCTTTCCCGACCACCCCAGCAGCGGCGCCCACCACTTGCCGCTGCTGCCGCCCTTCACCGCCCCCGCCGCGGAGGCGCGGGGCCGAGCCGAGGACGCCGCCGCCGGGCGGGCCGGGAACGAGACGGCGCTGCATGCTGATGCTGCGGACGGTGCCATCGCCATTGGACTCGATCTGCTCGTTGTTGCTTCGGTTGAATTGCGTTGCGATTTGCCTTGGGCTTGCGGGCGGCCGCTGGGGAATTTATAGCGATCGGAGCACGGATCCGGATTCGAATATCCGGTAGTATGTACGAGAGCGACGAGCAGGAACACCGCCGCGTGGGCACGTGCCGGTCACGGATCCGGATCCGGATCCGGATCCGATACGCGTCACGGGCTGGACCTGTACACGATTCCGTGTCGTGTCCGTAACTGCTCCTCTTGCTTACCGTTGGTTCGTTATTACTTTTCTGGGCGACAGACAGCTGGGCCCTGCCCCAGGTGGTGTGGCTAGCGGGAGCCGTCCATTTCTATTGCCGTGACGGTGGTGCCAGCTTGAGCGGTTAATTAAACGGTTGTCGCCCCACGCATTAGGAGTGCGTAACTACCTCCAGTTTCGGCGTTCTAGATGAGCAAGGTGAGCGTGTGTCCACGTACTCTTTCTTTTCTATACTCGAGAATTGACTCGTTCCGTTTGCTATCGTCGTCTCGTGGAACTTTTTTTACTGGGTATTTGCTGGTACTCCCGCTGGTTTTTAAAAAATTGACTATTTATTTTAGTTTGTTATTATTGGTCAATCCTCTCTTGATTTTGTTGAAAATCTGTTAACATAAACAATGTATATATGTTAGAGAGGCAGAGTTTAATAAAATTAATTCCATATTATTTCTCTATACACCTGATCAAACATTGACTACATATTTTAGTTTGTTATTTATTATAGGTCAATCCTCTCTTAATTTTGTTAAAAAATATGTTAGCATAAACAACGTATATATTTTAGAGAGGTAGAGAGTTTGATGAAATTAATTCCATACTATTTCTCTCTAGACTTGATCAAACATTGACTACATGTTTTAGGGTCTGTTTGGTTAGGGTCACACTAAACTTTAATCACTAAAATGCCAAACACCATGACTAAAGGGGTTACTAAAGTTTAGTAGCTTTAGTCACCAAGGGATAGTTAAAAGTGACTAAAAGTTGTTTCAAGTGACTTTACTCTCTTTCTTTCTCCTCTCCTTTTCACTTTTAGCCTACTTTTAACACATGATCCAAACAGAAGGTCACTAAAGTTCAGAGGGTGACTAAACTTTAGAGGGCGACTAAAGGAACCAAACAGGCCCTTAGTTTGTTATTATTGGTCAATTATCTCTTAATTTTGCTAAAAACATGATAACACAAAAAAACATATATATTTTAGAGAGACAGAGTTTAATGAAATTAATTATGTATTATTTCTCTATAGACTTAACATTGGTCAATCCTCTCTTAATTTTGTTAAAAGATATGTTAACATGCACAACGTATATATTTTAGAGAGGCAGGGTTTATTGAAATTAATTCCATATTATTTCTCTGTAGACTTGATCGAGCTAGAGAAGTTTAACTTAAAATAAAATTGAAATGACATGCACATTCAAACGAAGCAAGTAATCTGCAATTTGTAGAGATTTATAGCGAATCAACAAGAAAATTGAGGCCACAAAACGAATGCTCTCTCTCTCTTAGAAACAGAAACAGACAACAACAATGTTTACACCCTGTGTGAGAGAAAATACTATTCCTTGAAATTTGATCGATTTGATAGGCAGCCAAATGATATTATCATTTGTGGTCAGGCGTCGGCTTTGGAGGCGGCTAACATCAATACCGCTATCCATCACTTCGGTGCTGCCTCTGGTCAGACTCCCAATCTCAGTAAGTCTGCTATCCTTTTTAGCAAGCATGTCGATAATCCCACTAAGCAGGCTGTCAAATCAATCTTTCCTGTGCCTGACCTAAACCCAAATACCATCCACTTGGGTCATCCTCTTGTCTTCAGTCACAGAGATCGTTCTAAAGCTTGGTCTGTTCGAGTTCCAGACCAGCCGGCTGCTTCTCCTCATAATTTACTGTTTATCAAACTAGTCTAATAGTGTTTCTCTCTCACCCAACCAGCTAGTTTCAGCCAAGTTTCAGGCCAGCGAACGAGATCATCCTTAATAAATTCAAAGCCAAGCTCACAACTGTCAAAGCCAACAAGCTCAATCATGCTGATCGTCTTACTTACATCAACTCAGTTCTTGCTTCCATCCCGATTTACTATATGTCCACTGTGCTCTTCTCTAAAACTTTCATTGGGAAAATCACCTCCATCATTAGAAGATTTTGGTGGGCTGGTATTCAAGAAGATGCTAATTCTTCTCCCTTTCACTTTAGATCTTGGGACGACATCTGCCAACCTAAAGATAATGGGGGGGGCTTGGTATTAGAAACCTTTTCCATGTCAACCGCAGCCTCATCGTCAGAGCAACTTGGAATATAGCTACTGACCGAGATCCCTTTCTTGCTGCTGTCCTCAAAGCTAAATATTACCCCAATATTTCCTTCTGGCTTGCTAAAAATGTCACATCCAAATCTATCTTCTGGGCTTCTATCCTCCAAATTAAGCAAGATCTCAACAATAACTGCAGTATTCAAATTCACAGTGGTAATTCTAGCATTTGGTCTACCCCTTGGTGTCCTCTCTGGGATTCCATCCATGATCACCTTAACCTGCCTGTCACTCGGCCCAGCCTCCCTCAGACGGTTGCTGAGCTCTGGAACACAAATACTCAGTCTTGGAATGATGTTCTTATCACTGACATTTTCGATGCTCAGGCTGCACAGGCTATTACTCAAGTTCAGGTTGTTCCCTCTCGAGAGCCTGACATTGTCAGATGGAGGCCAGCGAAGGATGGTATATGCACATCAAAAGAGGCTTTCAGGTTTCTTAACTCTCAAGTACACATTCAGCTTCCTCAGCAGGGATCCAGAAGTGTTACAGCGCAGGCCATGTCCATCCTCACCAGAGCATGGAAGCACAGGATGCTTCCTCCTCTCCTCAGAACCTTTTGTTGGCGATTAATTCGAAAAGCCATAGCCACAGGTGAAAGAGCAGGGAGGCACTCCAACAAAATTAGTAAGCTGTGCGCAACTTGTAATAACAATGAAAATGATGCTCACCTTTTTTTCCAATGCACCTTTGCGAGGGCAGTTTGGTTCTTTGCAAACCCACCTTTATGTTCTTCAGACTTACCCAATGAGCAGGATGGTGTACAGGAATCGCTTGGCCAGCTTATCAACCAACATACCAATGACGAACAGATGATGGTCATTCTCACCACTATGTGGTACATATGGAAAGCCAGAAATGAGCGTAGATTTCATAACAAATCTTGGACTGTTTGGCAGGTACATCATGCAGTCGCAGCGGGCATTGCAGCCAATTTGCATCAGGCGCATCAGCAGGGAAATCAGGACCACCAAATCACATTGCTGCTTGGGCCATCGACATATCAAGGTATGGGTCTCTTAGCTACAGGTTCAGGGGCAGACGACGTACATGAGTCTAGGCATCAGCCTATGCTCATGCAAACCTTGCCGAGTCCACCCTGGTACAGGGTGCAGCTGCCGGCGCTTTTGCCTGGCACCAGGTGCTACACGGATGCCTCCACATCGCCTGACATGCAACAACATGTTCGCAGAACTGCAGGCTTTGGTGTACTCATCGTCAACAACCACCAGCAACCGACATCATCCATATACATTAAAGCTGTTGTGACCAATATCAACTCGGTGCTTATGGCTGAAGCATCAGCCATGGTGTTAGCGGCATCAATCCTTACTGCAATGAACATCACCAGTCCAACCTTTCTGACAGATAATCAGCAATTGGTGACCTACTTCAATGCAGCTGATCGCTCATCTCCTCCGCAGTGGGACATCAAGCACATCACACAGGAGTTTATCAACCTTGGTGCCACAAACAATTTCAGGGTATTCAAAATTGCTAGAAGCATGAACACCACGGCACACCTTCTGGCCACTCAAGCTTATAGATCCTCAAACATGTACTCTAATGCTATGTCCATTACTTGCTCTAGGCAAGATCATGTAATCACATGCCCCCTTCGTGAGGCTCTGAACATTTTACCCTGGGAGGGCATCTCCCTTTCTGCAGCTTCTTTCTGCTAATAAAGCTTGCCAGTTATCAAAAAAAAAAAAAACAATGTTTACACCTTCACTTGGAACGAATAATACTAGAAGTTGCCAAGAACTACAAAAGCCACATTGGTTGAAGGAAGACGTTAAACTAAATACTACTCCAAACCAGCATACTAGTCTGCTAGGTAAAGCTCAGTGTAAATAATCCAAAGCGCAAGAGTAAAATTATGAATGAAGTCTAATTAGGCAGATAGAGAAGATAGTAGAACAAATGTGAAGCACCTATCTGTTATCTATTATATTGCATCTAATTGTCATTTTCTACTTAGAGCATCTCCAAGAGTTTCCAAAACCCATTCACAATCTTGATTTTATGGCAAGATTGAAAAAATGCTCTATAAGACTCCTTGTGGCAACTCCAATCCTTTCACACTTGTGAAAACTGATCCAACCGCGCAAAAATATATCACCGTGTATTGACCGGAGGTGGAAAGATGTGGAAAAGAATATAGAGGAAGGACATGGTTCCCAATGCAAATGTAAAAGATATAAAGACATCCTACCATATTTTGTGAGTGAGAAAGCATCCAACAGCAGCGGTAGTGGCTGCAGAACAGCCTGCCGAACATGCCCAATATAAAATGTTGACCTGCTTTAGGAAGAGTCTGAAATTTCTGATGTAAAATTGCATTTTATCTTGTACGAGCAAGATTTTAGAAATAGTTGAAAAACCTATCAAATATGTTCTTTTTTAAGAACTATGCTCTTAGACGGTTTTGCGTCGTGTTGTTTTTCTAGTTTTTTTATTTGTTTCTCTAGTTATTGGACCTAACTAAGGGACATGCACATAGTGAGTGCTGAGTGGCACCTTTGGTGAGGATGAAAGGGCCACCAACTAGTCCAGGCCTCCAGGGGCAGTGAAGGGCCACTCTTTACTAAGATTTTTTGCGGCACAATTAACTCACTAGTATATTATTACATCATATGAATAAATAAA